ATATTTTCCTCCATATCCCATAATGCACAGTGCATCGGCCTACGGCAGGTGGATTAGTCCAAAAGGCGCAGCACTTTTTGCTGTTGGACATGTTTTAGTACGGATCATACTCTCACCACAAACGAACCGCTCCAGGGTTTGTTTGAAAGCGTACCGAGACCACCTCTTCGAGCAGGTCTCGGAACGGTTATTTGGTCCGCTTTTGGTGCGCACTCGAGTACGATTGCTGCATTCTCACCTGCCCAAACGAACCGCACCAAAAGGGGAAACGAACTCTAGTGCGATTCAATCCAACTAAATAAGGCAGGTGTGAAAGCACCCTTAGTTACAAGCTACTTCTCACAAATAGTAATTGAGTTATAGCATTATAAAAGTAACTAATAACCAGGGAAAGTAACTATTGCGTGACTTTAAAGGGCACATAGTTTACCCCTTTTTTTATGATTTAATATTAATAATATGGTTCTTCTGAGTGTGCCAGTTTAGGTTCAGTTTAACACACAGTTCAGTTTTTTATTATTATAATGTGTTAAACAGTGTCATGTTGTGGGCGTGTACACAGCTCTCTGTTTTAGGGGCGTGTTGCTTCACATGAAAATTTAGGTGCGTTCGACATGAAGCTCAGCTGCAGCCGGTGATTAACGAGATTAGCTGAGCAAAGGCGGGGGCGGAGTTGAAAACGGAGCCGTCAAGCTGGACAGCTGGACACTTCGGGGCTCAAAGTTGCTGAAGTTATGATGACCGATCACATGGCGTCATCATTGTTTTTTATTCATTTTTATTTATAACAACAAAACATTTACAATTAAAACAGAATACAGTCTCTACAAACTGTAGTTTTTTTTAACAATAAGGGAGAATTATCAATAAAATTTATAACAAATGCATGAGAGAAATAAGGGGAAATGAGAGGTTAATATAAACATAAAAACGAACAGGTCTAGTAAATACAAAGCAATAAGCACAAATTCTAAGAGTTAAACATCAATCTTTAGGCTAATACTTCTTGTTTGAATATGCTAAAAAGGGGTTTACATATGTGTACATTTATAGATATAAAAATTTACAATTTAAAACGCAAAACAAGGTGTTTTGATTAAGTTTTTAGAAATGAGATTATTTTGGATGATGAAAGCATTTTCAAAAAAGCACTTTAATCCAAAATGATTGTGTTGAAAAGATTGAACAAAAGGTAAAATAAGTGAGCTACAGATTTAGTTTCCCAGAAAGAGCAGGTAGCCTATAAATATATATTTATATTATAATAATAAAACCATTTTAGAATTATTTAATAAAATAGTTATTTAACTTAATTTGTTAAGAAAGCTTAAGGGTGGCAGGATCAATGATGATGATTATTTTATTTCAAGTCTGTAAGACTTATTTGAGTTTATATTTAGGTTATTCGCTAAAATTTATCATTTAAATAATTCATGGAGCTGAATGCAGTAAATAGTCTGTATAAAAAAGGTTGAAAATAAACCTGTGCAAACAAGCTAACCTTTATAACCAGATTATTTAACTAAAGATGATTACTGCAGTATAATATTGGTAGTCTTTTAATAAGCAAGATGTGTACAGGATAGAGAGGGTGTGAAAAGTGTTTTGAAACTTTTGAATCGGAATTTGTCCAATTATAAACCCGAAATACACGTGTTTGTTGTCATGTGGTGAACTCGGCCAATCGTGTAATATCGGTGTCGTCATCAGAGCTCCTGCAGTCGCTCTTCAGAAGCTGCATGGTCTGAGTCTGCCGTTTGATCTCGGAGCGCTGTCGCGGTACTTTGATGCCACATGTGACAGTCACGTGGCGTCGGCGCAGCATCAATCCGGACAAGATTTCTAACCAGCATGCACCGTTTTAAGACAGATTTCCATCGATCTGCGCAGCGATGCATGAAGTCGAACGCACCTTTAGTTTCTGCTTTCCGCCCAACGTAACAAGGGGGCGGACCCAAGAGCTCCCACGTTCTGTGTTTGCAACAGACAGCCAGACAGAGCGTACATGTATGACTCCCACACCTAGTAGAGAGTACACAATCATTTGTGTCTTTGTATAGTTTGTATAGTCTCGGTGTACAAGTGCCGAGCTTGTACACCGAGACTAATAACCACACATACTAAATTAACTTTGACTGAGGCACCGCATGCGCCACAACACGGCACACCAGACACTCTCAGTGGCCTACAGCTAATCAATCTGGCACATTCTGGAGTGCTTTACAGGTCTAAAGACATTTATAAACGATCTTAAATAAAACAAATACGTTTATAGAGATGGTATATAAGTATATAATTTAATTCACCTGGAAAATGGAGGCCACGTGAATGGTTTGTGAGCACAATTAAGTGCACAGAGCATGCCATATCATCTGATAATTATAAAAAACATTTCCAAAATGTAACTGACTGTGCATTCATTCATTCATTTTCTTGTCGGCTTAGACCTTTTATTAATCCGGGGTCGCCACAGTGGAATGAACCGCCAACTTATCCAGCACGTTTTTACCCAGCGGATGCCCTTCCAGCTGCAACCCATCTCTGGGAAACATCCACACACACACACACACTCATACACTACGTACAATTTAGCCTACCCAATTCACCTGTACCGCATGTCTTTGGACTGTGTGGGAAACCGGAGCACCAGGAGGAAACCCACGTCAACTTACTGACTGTGTAAAGCCACATAAAACAAAACAAAAATATGATGTGTATGCCAAGTTCAGCGGCTAATCAGCCGGAATCAGCTGAGGTGAAGTGACCAGCGAGACCTAGCTGTCACTTAAGTGGCCACGACCTTAATTATGCAAACTTAATATAACTTAATATAAAAGAAACGGATGAGTTAAAAAAATTCCTCCCTCACAGTTGTCATGAAGGGTAATATTAGCTTTATCAACCAAAATCTTTCTTAGTAACAGGCTATAAGCACCTGTTTTCTTCTGTAAAGTTGGCCATTCTAACAGTGGGCTCAATGGAAATTCGCTCCATAGGACTAGCAGAATTTCAGTGAATTACAGTTTCAGTTACTTCCGTATTAGCTTCACGAGGGATAGCGGGAGGTAGACACTTGGTGAATACCTGTCCTACTCTACCTCTGATTGGCAAACAATGGAAATGTACACACCCACCCCAGAGAAGAGAGGTCCTGCTCTCATGAAAACAGATTGTGTTCTCAATTATAATAATGCGCATTTTATTGTCAGTAAGGGTAATGGTGCTGTAACAGGGTAAACAGTAATTCATTTGATAACTCGTTACTGAAAAAAGTATTGCCGTTAGTAACGCTGTTTATTTATTTACCCATCACTGGTGACTTTAAAGTATTTTTTTTTTGCTACTTGTTCAAACTACGTATTTGAAGTGAGCATAAACAACACAATACTGTAGAGTTTTTTTGTGAAACTTAATTTTTATGTTCAATCCACCTAATTTTGTTAAGTTGTGTTGGGAAAATTGTGTGGGACCCTGTATTATTACAGTGGCTTAGTTTCCTTCCACCTATTTTTATGCACATTTTGGATTATTGCATAAAAAATGCTTGATGGAAAGGCCAAGATGTGCATACAATATGAAGATGTGCATACAAAAAATGATAACCCAGGCTCAATGGAAATATGTGCCCAGGGCTATATTTTTGAGAACTGACAAATGTTTTCCCTGGGCTATGTTTTCTTGCAGTTTTTGTTTTTTACAAATCCCCTAGAGAGCGGCGTGTACATTTTTGACAATCTCAAATGCATCACTGGGGCACATTTTCTCATTTGTGCCATTTCACGCCATTCGTGCCGTTAGGATAACTTGTAATAAAATTAATGAGATTGTAATCAGCAGGAACAGACCAGGGCTGCATCCTTAATCGCCTACTACCACGCAGGTACTACATATGAGTTTAAATGTACTACTTGACCGTGAGAAAGGTACGTTCTGTACAGTATGAATGTAATCAGTATGAATGGAACTCGGACGTACAACATTCGCCATTTTGTCCTGGTCACGTTGCGTCCCTTCACTCCCCATTCATGAATTCTCTAGTGGTGCATCATGGGATAGCGTAGCGTGCATTGAATGCACTCTTCAGAATCTCGCCAGAAGTAGTAGGTCATCCAGGTACTTCTCGTATACTGTTTTTTTCCAATTTTATGAATTCCGACATATTACTCGGCTTATATACTGATTTTAGCATACTATATAGTATGGAGACATGCAATTTCAGATGCAGCCAAATTCTTACTCAAGGTTTGAAACCTCTGGTTCTTGCATGAAATAGACACAGTTGGATGTTTTAAATATTTAGGAACTTTTATTCATTCATTCATTTTCTTTTAGGCTTATTTCCTTTATTAATCAGGGGTCACCACAGCGGAATGAACCGCCAACTTATTTAGTGGATGTTTAGGAACATTTATTGACAGTAAATTGACATTTGCTGGAAATGTGGAATGCATTTTTAAAAAAAAGCAACTCAGAGATTAGATCTTATTAGGATGTTACAACAATTTGGCATGAGCCAAGATATTCTGGAGATGGTATACAGGAATTTGGTGGAGTTTTATCATTATTGCATGGTAAGGACTGTTGCCATTAAAAAAAAAAAAAAGCAAAATCTGCGTAGAGTAGGATGCGGCATGGCGGCTTAGTGGTTAGGACTGTTGCTGAGTCCCGGATGGGCCAGTTGGCATTTCTGTGTGGAGTTTGCATGTTCTCCCCGTGTTGGCATGGATTTCCTCCGGGTGCTCCGGTTTCTCTCACAGTCCAAACACATGCGCTATAGGTGAATTGAATAGACCAAATTGGCCGTAGTGTATGAGTGTGTGTGAATGTGAGAGTGTATGGGTGTTTCCCAGTGATGGGTTGCGGCTGGAAGGGCATTTACTCTGTAAAATATATGCTGGAGTAGTTGGTGGTTTGAAAAAATAGACAGGGGGGGTAATGGTTCTCACTTTAACTGTAAATGCTGCATTTGCTGACCTGCTGTATTTGTGTGTGTGTTTCAGAGAGCTGTGGTCATGTATGATGGGGCGAGGGTTTCCTCCCCTGAGGACTCTGCGAATGGCGTCCCGCTGCAGTCAGAGGCTCCAGCCATCCCCCGTCCTACCACTGAGGAGCCGGAGGAGGAAGAGGAGCAGGGCGTCCCATCTGAACCTGTCCTGGTGAAGAAGACTCACAGAGAGATCCTGGACCATGAGAGGAAGAGGAGGGTGGAGCTGAAATGCATGGAGCTGCAGGAGATGATGGAGGAGCAGGGGTGAGTCTCTGATACAATTGATAAACCTCCACACTATATATATATATACTTAAATATTATTACTTATATATAATACTTATATATATATATATATATATATATATATATATATATATATATATATATATATATATATATATATATATATATATATATATAAATATATAATAAATATATA